CCCCAAAACCCCAAAACCCCAAAACCCCAAAACCCCAAAACCCCACACCAAGATCCTAGTTGAACTCCTAAGCATCCAAAATATTTATTTTTCTTCTTTCTTGGCTCTCAAAAACAACGTAAAAAACCCAGCCACGAAGGTGAACACCAACAGGATAATGATCGGAGTCTGTCTCGGCTGGATCTCTGCTACTTGTGGAGCAAATATCGTGAATATCCTGGCGACAAAGTTACACAGCCCGAATGAGAACGATACGAATAAGGGGTGGAAAATCTCAGGGTTGACGAAGTAAGCAATGTTGAACCCTCCTTCGATGAAGAATTTACCTGAGAACACGCAGATAGCTATGACTATGGAGTTGGTGACAAATAATAATGGCACTGCAGAGATTAGCGAAAACCCAAAACAAACAATCAAAGAGTATTTGGATCCTATCCACATCTGAATGAAGCCTGATCCAAAATTACCTGCTATTTCCGATAAAGAGCCTGCAAGTGTGTTGACGTAGATATTACCTTCCACGTATTTGAGGTAGAAACTGATCATGTAGTAGTTGAATGACACAACACAGAAAACTACAATGACACACATGAGGTTTAGTAGGGTTCTTCTGTCTTTGAGTTCTTGCCATATTGAGAACTCTTTTGCACCGACTTTACCTAACAGAGGCTGGCTGCTATCGTTCTCAGTGTTGTTCATCTTTGTCTCAGAAATATTGTCACTATTGTTAATAAAATCTGATTGATCTCGGTCACTTTTATCCTTATTTTGACTATTCTCTTCTATTAAGTAACAATAAATTACCAGGAGTTTCGAGAGGATCAGGTGGAACTAACTCTCCTTCAATTTGATATTCCCCCATGCTTACTCCATTAAACCTAGCCATGAACGCTAAGTTCTTGCGAAGTTCACCATACTTTCCCTTCTCTAATAAGTACTTCGGAGACTCAGGAACCATCAGAGTCAGAAAGAATGAAAGCACAGACATCACAAGTCCTGCAATATAGAAATGCTGTAATTGCTTACCCCCAGCCATCAAGAAGATGGTCGCAGGGATTGAAGTGATTAATGGGTCTGATGATAAAACCCAACTTGCAGCATAAATTTGAGACTTCTTTGGAAGTGACTCAACCACTAGGATATAAATAGCAACATCTTTGAAACTAACAAATCCTACTATCAACAATGCAGCATATTTAGCATAGAGGTTTCTCCAGAAGAACATCATACCGATTGCAACAAATGACAAAAGTGTTCCTCCAAGAATAGCTTTCTTTCGCCCAAATCTATCTGATTGCTTCAAGCCAAGCCCGCTAATTGCAAAGCCTACGAAAGTTATAGACCCAAGAAGGCCAATCATAAAATCGCTGTAACAGTACAGCTCAAGGTCGGTCATCCAGTTATGGAAACTTCTGCTATCAGAGAAGTCTACCCTCCATAAGTCTCTATACCAAACAATATTACTCACAATTAAACACCATCCGCTTCCATATACCTTTTCTTTTCGATTATTGAAAAACAAAGAAGCTAAATTTTCTTTTCTCATAAAATTGACTAACAATCAACTCTCTATTAAACCCATGCCCTACCTATCAATAAGATCTCTTCCATCACAGATATCCTCAACTTCTCATGTCTCAAAAGTCTGCATGGTCTGATTCTTTCACTCAAGCTTCGGTACAAGCTCCAAGTAAGCAAGTGTGTAGAAAAAGAAGGTGACTCCTTGTCTAGCTAGGCCTCCGAATACCACCATTGCCCACTGGAACCTGCCGAAGCCTCCTGCTTTCTGGATCAACTGTTCAATGGCGAGCGGCTGGGTTTCAGGGAGGTCTTCCTCTGAAGAGTCTACTCTTGACATTTTATATATTATTCAGTATATTTGGTAAACACGGGGTTTTGGGGTTTTGGGGTTTTGGGGTTTTGGGG